CCCCAAAACCCCAAAACCCCAAAACCCCAATTTTATGTAATTTTATTGAAATTACAACTAACAGAAATGTCATATGGAATGAACGAGAGTAAGCATACAAGGAGGTTTAGCCAGCCAATTTAGGAGCTTAGTTACCCATAATTGATGGACGCAAGATTCTGACCATTTGGAAATCTTAGAGAGTGGTTTAAGGCAATATAGTTATATCAAAAAGAAGTAGCCTTAATTTGGAAATGAAAGGTGTCACAAGATCGAAATCAGAGTCTGCATTTTCCCCAAATTTTTGAGTAAAGTAAGTAACTGGGCAGAGTATGTACAACTGTGTATACTTTATAAGTAAACTAGCATAGTAAACATTATTAAAGCCTTCTGAACTCATGCATAATTCCTTAATGGATGCCTCTTCGTCTTTATGACCTACTCTAAATCACAATTTTTTTATTACTAAAACCTGCAGCTCCAAGCTCTCTAGGCTACAGTCAATCGTTTGGACTGAAGGCCAGCTAGGCTATTAGCTCTAACTGTGGTTGCTGCTGGTTGTCGTAAGTTTGTGCGAGTAGGAGTCAAAAAAAAGGTTGTAAGTTTAAGTAGGAGGAAGTTATGAGTTTTCAGAAAAAGAGCGAAATGGGATTTTGGGGTGGAAATTAAGTGGTTTTGGGACGGAATTTTGAGTTAGAATTGGATTTTAGAGTATTCCTCAGATTTGAGCTACGAGTCCCCAAATCTTTGTTCAACTAGCTACAAACACCACACTGCTCTAATCTCGATCATTCAGTCTAACTATATAGTGATAAAAGCTTGTTTGAAGAGATTAAAGACGAATCTAGTAAGCGAGGGCCATCATAACCCTTAATTATTTTCTGAAAATCTAATTTTAGATAAAGCAAACCAACTCTGTACTAAAGAAATTCAATTTGACGAGCAAGGTAAAGATCTTACTTCATTCACTTTTGAGTTCTGGCTTGGCTGCACAAAACCTGCGAAAAATGTACATAAAGACCTATAAGTTCGAAAGGAGCTTAATTTGTTTAATTTTACTTGAAATTCGAGGATTTTGGGGATGGTTAGCATCCCCATGCTAACTGTTCTGAGAAATATTGGTTGGATTTAAGATAAATTTTTGTGTAGTTTCTAAAGCTAGATATACAAAAATATTAACTCCAGTATTGCTTAGTGATGTGTGTAGTAGATATCCCTCAAAACAAGATCTCTACATTCACCTAAACTTGCTTTAGATATGGATCCTATGACTAAATTTGCTTAGTAAACTATTTTTTCAGGCTAAAAAATTCATTAAAAGTGCAAAATGAGGCTAAGATGGCCATCTTTTACTTGATAGATACACAGAAGCTCTTATGCTCTTAGTATTCATATTGTTTTACTCCGAGTTTTAGCCAAGATAGCTTTAATCTCATTAACTTCCCTTTTCTTTGTATAAACAAAATACCAACTTTATATATAGAAGAAATTAAGTCTCAAAATAACGAAGCTTTTGGTCTGGAAAACTCAAGGAATGGGATAGGAGGACTCAGCTCAGAGAGTATCTATGACGGCTCTGAAGGAATCAACCATAACCTTTCATATGAACGAGAGAATTCAGATAGAGGTAGGCCACAAACATAGATAAAAGAACTTGGGCATATTATTCCAATAGATAACCATTAATGGCTACATTTTCCTGCTTGAAATCTCTTAGTCAAGGTTCTAAATTTAATTGTGACTGAAGGAATAAAGGATAATAATAGTGAAGTGCGTCTACTCTTAAGTATTTACATCCTACCTGAGTAGTGGGCAAACTTAGATACTTATTAGAGACACTCTTTTAAAGGAGTATAATCATTACACTGTATTTGCTTCTGAGAAAACTCTGTCATATTGTTGACACATCATTGGAAACAGTTCTTTTTCCTTGCTAGAGAAATGATTCTACCATAAATTTTATCAACTACGTTCAGAGAACATATACTCTCTCTAACATAAGTAACCTCTTGGTAAAGATCTTGTTGCAGTTTCCTGAATCTTATTTTGAGAGTATCAATCCACGTAGTGTGCTTTTCCTTTCTTGAGAAAATTTGCTGTAAGATTTTTTGTATGCTGGAGCCCTTGAATTCCTAAAGCTCATGTGAGAAGTAAGATGTATCTTTCCTTTAAAAAATAATCAGAAAGCATTTAAAATAATTTCTTGATCTCTTAATGACTTTCAAATTTGCTAAACCTAATTGACTAAATTAGCGAAAGCCACGTTAAATAAACTCAATAAAAATCAAGAGGAATTTAAGATCTTCAGTCCTGAAAAGATTCAGAGGAACACGAGACAGTTTATAAATGCAAAAGACGAAATGTATGAGCCAGAAAAGGAAGAGTGCAAATATCAAGACTGTAAGCTCTATTTGCCTTATTTCTACTATAACAAAAAAATGAAAAAGAGCGCTAAAATGCCTCTTAAGTGAAAATATCTGAGCTTTTTCTTGTTTAAAATTCCCATAAACAATTTCTGATCCTAATTTTACGATTTAGTCAAATAAAGCCAGACAAAATTATGTATAATTCCTTCTCTCATGTTACAGAACAACAGGATTTCGGACTATGGCTTAGTAGAGGGACCTGAAAGCCATCGCTCGAAGGAAAATGACGATTCTGAAGTAGGCATACCAGTCTTACCTCTTCTTAGGAAATTTTGGATCTCAAGGGCAGAATCAAATAAGATATGGGGATCCTTAAAACAACAAAAGCTTTGGGGAGTGACCCTATTCCCAACTTTCAACGTTTTGGTGATAACATTGGCAATTATTGATTTGATATTTTTCATCCTGTTCATCCTGCTACTGATATCATCTCTTTCTGTGTCGAACCATGAAGTCAGGTACGCTCCGACACTTAACGAGTAGGTATGATGATACATGACAAGGATATCATAATTGCGAAGTTAATTTCACTCTCAGCGAGGATTTTGAGAGCCCGAATATTTATTATAGTAAAACTTCATATTTGATCTGAAATAGGGTGAGCAAGCTGAACATTTCCCCAGCTCATAAGATGTGTCGATATCTGGCTTAATTGATAATTATAGATTCGAAAATTTCTACGGCAACCATAAGAAGTACATCGAATCAAGGAATTATAAGCAGCTGAGAGGGGATACCACAGCGACCTCTGATTGCTCACCTGTGACTAAGAACAAGGATCTTGGCCGAACTGTCACCTCTTTAGATGAAGGGGATGTAGTATTGAATGATGACGAACCAGCCATTCCTTGAGGTCTCCCTGCCAAGTACTATTTCAGAGATGAACTCAGACTCACAGATGGAAATGAAGGGATTTACATTTACGATAATGACATCGCTCTTGGTGTCGATAGAGATTCCAGATTTGGCAACACAGGAGCAAATAATGAAAAGAAGCAATGTGAGTAATTCTCTTAACCCATAGGGATTGATATGACAGACCAGAGATTAATGGTCTGGTTCCAGCCAGAAGCTTTCCCAAACTTCATTAAGCTCTACGGAAGGACTGACGTAAAACTGTCTAAAGGTACACAGTATACTTTGAAAATCAGTGAATTTGATGATCTAAGTGATTTTGATGTCAAAAAGTACTTCGTGATTAGTAACACAAGTTTCTTAGGAGAGGACATCTCACTTGCAATAATCTTCATGCTTGCCTTCATCTATCTTACTGGGTTAATAATATTTATCATTGTGATGGAGATCCGGAAGGCCAAAAATATTCAAAAGAAAAGTAGAGAACAAGAGTATAGAGTCCCTGCGAATGAGGAGTTCAAACAAGCAGGAGTCAATCCTCAGAAAATAGTTAAAAGAAGTTAAAGTGAATAAAAATATTGTTTCAATGGCTCTATGTCATGTTGGGGTTTTGGGGTTTTGGGGTTTTGGGGTTTTGGGG